ACATCATCTGGGACAAAGTACCCCACTTGATGGCACCACATCATGAGCATCCACAAAAACCCACATCCTCCACCATCAGAAAATCTACCAAGGCTCCTTAGACAGCACCTTCCAAACTTGCAATCGCTGCCATATAGAAAGGCAACTGCAGCGATGCATGAAAGCACTCCACTTGCAAGTTTTCTTCTGAGCATCTGTTATGCCTTCAGTATCACTGGGTTAAAACATGGAACTCCCTCCCCAGTTGAATTATGGGTCTACCTATAGCAAATGGATAACAACGGCACAAGAAGGCAGCTCATCACTACCTTCTCAAGAGCAAACAGGGACGTGCAATAAATTGTCCAGTCAGCAAAATCAACACACACCCCCCAAATGAACTTTCTAAAAAGGCACTATATATGTGGTGTGTTGCTCATCTGTGCCAAAGGCTTTATTTTTAAACCTTTCCCCAAATCATGCTTTTTACCTACCGTGGAGATGCTAATATTGAGGCCAAAGTGGCTCAATATTACTTTTTTCGACCTTGATGTCTTAGTTTGTTGGACAATATTATGCATGTAAAGAACCTTTGGAATGAATTTGTGCTATGCCTGCCTGCAGCTTTCATTTACTTACATGATGCTAGAGTGAGACACAGACCCAAATGCTTACTTATCAAAAATAAAATAGGGTATTAAAGGAAGTGGCGGCAGAGATAGTGGATCCATTGATTACAATATTCCAAAATTCCCTGGACATGGGAAAGGTTCCAGTGGATTGGAAAAATGCTAATGTAATGCCCCTGTTCAAAAAGGGAGGAAGGCAATACGTGGGAAATAACAAACCAGTTAGTTTAACATCTGTTGTTGGGCAAATGTTAGAATCAATTATCAAGGAAGCAATATCAGGACAATTGGAAAGTCAAAATGCTATCCATCGGAGTCAACATGGTTTTATGAAGGGCAAATTATGTTTGACTAATTTGCTAGAGTTCTTCGAAGATGTAACAAACAAAGTGGATAATGGGAATGCTGTAGATGTAATATATCTGGGCATCTGGAAGATGTTTGAAAAGGTGCCGCATACAAAGTTAATTCACAAGGTTGGATCATATGGGATCAGGGGTAATTTATTAGCTTGAATAGATGACTGGCTAATGGACAGAAGACAGAGATTCAGGATAAACAGGATTTTTTCTGGCTGGCAAGAGATAACAAGTTGGGTGCTACAGGGTTTGATCCTCGGACCCCAGCTGTTTACATTCAACATTAATGACTTGTAACAGGGATAGAAATCTCTATAGCCAAATTTGCAGATGACACAAAAATAGTTGGGATGGTAAATAGCAATGAGACAATAAGAACCTTACAAATGGATATAGATAGGTTAGGAGAGTGAGCCAAAATGTGGCCCAAGATGGAGTTTAATGTGGATAAGTGAGAGGCCATGTACTTTGGTCGGAAAAATAGGAAGGTCACCTACTATCTAAATGGGGAGAAACTTCGGTGTACTTCAGTGCAAAGAGATCTGGGTTTCCTCATTCATGAGTCACAGAAAACTAGCATGCAGGTACAGCAGATAATAAAGAAAACAAATGGAATTTTGGCTTTTATAGCTAAAGAGTAGAACATAAAGGTAAAGAAGTATTGTTGCTACTATATGAGGTATTGGTGAGACCACACCAGGAGTTTTGTGCACAGTTTTGATCTCCTTATTTGAGGAAGGATATGGTGGCATTGGAGGCAGTTCAGAGGAGGTTCACTAAATTGATCCCAGAGATGAGGGGTTTGTTGTATGAAGATGGCTTGAATAGTTTAGGCCTACACTCTCTGGAATTTAGAAGAATGAGGGGAGATCAAATTGAGGTATTCAAGATGATGAAAGGTATAGATAAAATAGATGTGGAGTGGATGCTTCCTCTTGTGGGGTATTCTAGGATGAAAGGTCATAGTCTTCGGATTAGGGTAGCAAACCTAAAACAGACTTGGGAGAAACTATTTCTCCCAAAAGGTTATGAATCTGTGGAATTTGCTACCCCAAAGTGAGGTGGATGCTGGGACAGTGAGTAAATTTAAGGAGGAGTTAGACAGATTTTTAATTGGTAATGGGTTGAAGGGTTATGGGGAGAAGGCAGGAAAATGAAGGTGAGGAGCATATCAGCCATGATCGAATGGTGGAGCAGACTCAATGGGCCAAACGGCCTAATTCTTCCCTATTTCTTACAAACTTATGAACTTATGAAAATAAGATCAAACTGAAAGCACCACACTACTCTTTTCTATCTCTTAACAAGATGGAAAAGCCGCAGGCTCAGATCGTCTGCCTTACCCATGTGACTGGAAGAATAAACAGAAGGCAAAAATTATTTATAACCACGACAAAATAAGTAAGCAATTAAGTAATCCTTACCAACAACAAAAACAGAAGTTGCTGGAAAAGCTCAGCAGGTCTGGCAGCATCTGTGAAGAAACAATCAGAGTTAACGTTTTGGGTCCAGTGACCTTTCCTCAGAACTCGGTGGACAAGAAGAAAGATTGGAACTGAAATTCCATTGGAAAGAGGTGCAGGACTTCTTCAAGGTGGGCATGCCTAGAAGAGATGTAGCGGTGAGTTAAATACTAAATGAAAACAGAAAGAACTGCAGATGCTGTAAATCAGAAACAAATACAGAAGTTGCTGGAAAAGCTCAGCAGGTCTGGCAGCATCTGTGAAGAAAAATCAGAGTTAACATTTTGGATTTGGTGACCTTTCCTTAGAACAGACCCAAAAAGTAATCCTTAAAGCTGTCATCTCGCATTTATATTCATTATAAATCTTTATTGTTTTCCAATTGATTATAAATTCCAACAATTTTTGCAAAAGTATAACCCACTTTATTGAAATTAGTTGCTAGGTAGTATAAAATTCGAGTATTACTAAATAAAAGAAACATGCTCTCAGAGCTTTTCCTCTAGCACTCATCAAGATGAAACTGAAAGAATGTAAAATCTCCAAGGCAACAATGGTTTATACAGTTTGGGAATAGGGTGTTGAATGATTGGAATGTGGACTCTAATTGGTAGAGGTACTGCAATAAAAGATGCACCCAAAGAATATTTAACTGCCAACTTTTAAAGTCGAGCCAGGAAAGTCAACTTTGATTGGTCAAGACATTGTCCTGGAGAATACACCAGAGCATAGCTGTCCTCCAAGTTTTTCTTTACACAGTAGGTGTAAGACCTGTGCATTGAATTGAATAAAATTAATTTTTGTAACTTTTACTTTGTGGAAATATATTTGAACATGGTGTTTTTATAGGGAGATCATAAGATTGACATTAGTTTAAGTACAACTGGTTGTCATAATTATATATTTATGTATATATACTGGTACAAGTTACCTTTGTGATAGAGTGATCAAAGCAACATAATAACTAGAAAGAGTATCAGAGATAGTAGGAACTGCAGATGCTGGAGAATCTGAGACAACAAGGTGCAGAGCTGGATGAACACAGCAGGCCAAGCAGCCTTCCTGCTCCTATGATGCTGCTTGGCCTG